GTGGACGCTACACTTGCTGCTTGTCAGGCCATTTTGCTTAACTGTAATCATAAATCATCGATATATGTATATACATATACACCTATATTTTCTAACTTATTGAACTACGCGTCGATTCTTTGACAAATTTAAAACTTTATCTTAATATTTTTAATTTTTGTTTCGTGCTCTGCCGAGGTGCCCTCGGAACACGAATGAATGCCGGGACCACCCTGACCACGGCGCGGGGCAAGAGCCTATTAAGAGTTAGCAAAAAGTGGGTTTAGATTAGGGCTCGCTATTATACGTTTAAACGGATCACGTTTATACGTGTAATTAGCATATCCGTTTATTAGAATAGTTATTTGTGTAACAAGTGAGGTAAGATGAAAATTCCCGGGTGTGGAGTTTACGCACGAGCCGAAGGCGAGTGCGGTAACCGCACCCGGGAATTTTCATCTTTACACACGGCTTACACTCCCTATTTTATGTTGCAAGTGCCTGGAAAATGGTCTATCACGCACGCGTAGCGTGCGTAATGGGGCACTTTCCATGCACGTGTTGCATAAACGTTTTTCCGAATACACGTGTTTTAAGTCTAAGCCTGATACACTGAAAAAAAAAATTACTAAAAAAAAAGAAAATTTCCTTAATTTTAGTAAATGCGGCGAGTTTGCATACAACTGTAAACGTATTTTTTTAAAATAAGAAACTTATTTACTTATTTAAAAAACATAATTCCCTTAATAAAGAAAATAATTTATTAATTATAACAAGTATTTACTGCAGTACAGTCAATGATTATTGAAATATAATTTTTATTTTTTACTAATTAGTAATTTTCTAATTATATTTATTACTTTCAATAAAATGCATTTTCTTATTAAGTAAAAAATTCATAAACTTGAAGAAGTATTTTGTACAATATATAGTCAATATTTATAGAAATATGAATCTTATTTTTTATAAGTTACCGATTTTCTAATAATATTTATTTAATTTAAGAAAATAATTTTTCTATAAATTATTTACCTATAAGTAAAAACTTTAAAAAAATTTTTTAAAACATATACTAAATTGGCATCCAAACGCCAAGAAATACTCACGTAGAGAAGGGATTCTTCCACTTACGATAGTGGACTCTGTGGTTTTCGCCTCGCAGCGGGTCTGCTTATATATTATGGTTGGATATATTTTAAATTTGAGAAACGTTTCCCATCATACGCCATCTAGCAGCGTCGCGCGTCGTTACGAACTTATAGGATTCCGTCGAGTTAAAAATGCTTACAAATAAAATATTCCTTTCCTTTTTTGTCGAATATATTAACTTTATTTCAGTATACGTTTCCTCAAATGTAATAAATTGCACTAAAAAAAATATTTATTTCTTTAAAGTACACTATTTATTATTTTTATAATTTTGGAAACGTGAATTTAAGCAAATATTTATTAAAGTGCCATTTCTAAAATTAAAAGATTCGGATTTAGTATTTTAAAAATTTATTTACTATATTTCAATAACTATTATACTGTAATATAGTAAACCTGAATTTGATTTAAGTAAATGTTTCAAGATGAAAACATTTTCTGATTTTAATGCTTCAGTTTACTATAGTCAAATTAATAAGTTTTACAATTTAACATTTATTTAAATTAAGTAAATCTAATTTTAGTAAATATATTTACTAAAAATAAGCAAATTTTTTTTCAGTGTAAACGTTTAAACGTTTACACGTATATTTATAGCACATCCGTTTACTAAAAACGTTTTTCTATAAATGTTTATTATCCCTTTCTTAAGTGTTTTATTTTTGAATGTACTTTATTAATGAAATATTTATTGCAAATATAGTCAGAATTGGGAAGTAATGTATTATTTGTAATATCGTTACCGTTACTTTCTTTCCGGTGACGTCGTCACATTTTTACAGTAACGGAAACGAATTCGTTACTTTCATCGTTACTTAGTCATTTCTATTCAATAAATCAGAAGTATTTAGATTTGTTCGCGCTGCTTGCACTTCTTGGACTTAGAACAAAACAAATACGCATTCGGATGCTGGTATAAAAGCAATGAAATTGAGTGCAAATAATGCAAGCAACACGAAGAAATTAATTTTATGTGTAATTATAAATGCAAGCTTAATTTATTTTTACATAACAAATTAATTTTAATGTATATTGTATGTTTAAAGTTTTATTATTGTATATATGTTTCTGTTTGCTGTACGTTTCATATAATATATAGAACAAAAGTAATAATTACATTTTAAAATTAATTACGTATTCTATTTTAGTATTACAAAATGTTACTATTATAAAATGTTTAAATTTTTATTGTACATTTTTGTTTACTGTATGTTTAAATTGTACATACGTATATCTATGTATATATACCTAAGTATCTATAAAAATAATAATTTTTTTTTAATCAATCACGTATTTTATTTTAGTGTTATAAAAAAATAACGAATTGTTACTTTCTTATAGTAACGATAACGGTAACAAGTTGCTTTTTCAAATTGCTAACGAGTAACGGTAATGATAACGCGTTACATTTTTAAACTAAATAATCTGGATAGTTATGTTGTTTTTAGATGATTACATGGCATAAAGTAGGTATGAAACAAACAAAACAAGTTTTGTTTTGTTTACGCCTACCTGGTACTTTTGTCGCGTAATCACTAATCATTTATCAGTCAGTCTAGGACTTGCTATACGTTTAAACGAAAACACGTTAACTTTGACATCAACGTTGAACGCATAATGGGAAAACAGGGAAAGAGTTGGGTATGGGAATATGCCAAAAGAAAAAACGATAAAGCGTACTGCAATATATGTAGTGATGATGTAGATAACGGATTGAGTTGTGTCGGCGGCTCAACTGGCGCAATTGGTAATCATTTGCGGAAAATCCATGGCTTACATCCTCAAATCAAGAAAAGAAAGTAAGTTAATAAATATATATATATATATATATATATATATATAAGTAAATATTAAATTAATAAGTAAATAATAAATAATATAAATGTTAGCTGTATTGTTTAAATATACACGGAAAGAACAGTTTTGCTAAAATATCAAAAATTTGTGCCAAGTATTGAAAATAATTTTGTTAAATCATCAAAATTATTTGCTGATTTATATCCTATTAATTTGTTAAAGTATCAAAATGCTTTGATATGTGTTTTGACAAACTATAATAAAATAAACGGAGGAAATAATTTTATTAATCCAATAAAACTATTTTCAGATTTGTATTTTGCATAAACTTTTTATATATTTTAACAACTGTTCCTTCTGTGTATGGTTGGTCTTGCCGCTTATGAGTCACTTGCTCGTATATTTAATGTAAAACATTACCATATTTTCTTATATTGAAAATCGCACTTGTCCATATGTATCACGGCGTTAAACCCCGCTATAATGTTTTCTCATTTTTAGACTATCACACGATGAGGATGTGGATGAGGAAAACATGGATAATTCAGATAAAGACAGACAATTAGAGGAGAATCTATAAGTACTTAATTCCTCAACACCATCATCATATTCAGCCACTCCATGTTCATCCATGTTGTCAAATGAAGAATTTTCAACGCAAAATCGTAGGAAGCGTCATCGACGTCCTACGAGCATTTACAAGAATGGACGTTCATGTAGTGCCGAAAGGTCAGAAATCATCGATCAAAGTTTAACGAAGATGATTGCTACGACTCAACTTCCTCTATCATTCGTCTCATGTTCTGGTTTTATAATTTTATGTCTGTTATTGAGCCAAATTATAAAATTTGCAAAGAAAGTACTTTTAAAAAAAGATTAAATAATTTGTATACTGAAGTTAAGGACAAAATTCGTGAAGAATTGAGGGTTGTATCTACTGTGGCGTGCACTTCTGACTGCTGGACATCATTAGCACAACACTCATACCTTACTATGACAGTACATTTAATAGATGATAAGTGGAAATCTAAATCGTACACCCTTTCGACCCAGCTGATGATAGAGCGACACACAGCAACCTTTCCGAGGCTATTAGCAAAATTTTTACGAAATTGGAAATTTCTGAAAAAGTATAAGCGGTAGTGACTGACAATGCGGCTAATGTTGTGAATGCAGTGCGTGATATGATTGAAATTCAAGAGCAAGACGGTCTTACTTGTGCAGCTCATACTCTACAGCTTGTCGTAAATGAAGCTCTAGCATATCCAGAAATACAAGAGATTTGTCAGAAGGCTGGAAAAGTAGTGGGACATTTTCGCCATTCAACCGTAGCTACCACAACTTTGCAATCAAAGCAAGCACAACTAAATATAAAACCATCAAAATTAATTCAGAGTGTAAAAACAAGATGGAATTCCACATTTGAGATGCTGGAAAAACTTATTGCAAACCGTTTGCCCATATCAAATGTTTTAGCTGATAGGAATGTGACTACTTTTTCTATAGCTAAAAAACTTAAAATAACGGAGGAACAATGGACGAAGATGGAAGAATTAGTAAATCTGTTGAGACCATTACAAATGGCCACAACTGTTTTTTGTGGAAACAACTACTTTCCTGCTTCTATGATACAAAATTCATAAGAAGCAAAAACGAGTTTTATAAAATTTATCAAACTTTAACTTTAAATATCTTTTGAACGGTTGAATTTATGAAAAAATGATAAGAGATCTTTTTTGTAGAGCGGTAAATTTACTACAAAAAATCTATGTGGCGCAATGCTGTATTACTGTTTGTTAGATAGTTATAAAATTTTTGTATTTTACTAAATGAAAAATAAAAAATCGTGATAAGCGACCTGTTAATATTAATATTAAGGCCTAAAAATTTAACAGGTATCTTATTTTACCTTCCTGGAAGTATATATGCTATTCGTGAAATGAAAAAAAAAGTTGTTCCAAAATGACACGCTCTAATATGTATGTATGTGTATTGTGTGTGTATATATATATATATATATATACGTAAATATATTAAAAGAGGGGCAGAGGGCAAAGAAGCAAAAAACGGGAGCGTCCGAGAATCAGCAGGAAAATTTTATTGGAGATACACGAGGACGATTGCGAGTGCTAGTATTACGTAAGAATAATTAATACGGATGATTCGTGAAGACTCGTGCGTAAGTACACAACGTACAATTTACGTAACATTTATTCGTTAATCTTATATATATATATATAAAAGTTGCCTTTTTTTGGGGTTAATTTTCAAGCGATATAGATATCGCGGAATATATTGCGATGCGCCTAAGCTTAAAATTATATTGTCGCAATTTGTGAATCATGCACTAGCGCACAGTTTAATTGATCGCTCGAGTTTTGCATCGAGAGATGGAATAAGAGAGAATCGTGTGTGATTAATCGATAGAAATTTATTATTCGAGAATTCTTCTTATGCTTATCTGATAACTGACTGATGCTCACAAAGTATATACGAAAATAAATACATTATTTTCAAAGTACGTACGCGATATTAGACTCGGAGAGACTCAGCGGAGGCGAAGTCACCGAACGTCTTGGCGGCTTTGGTCCATTCTTATCTTAACTAAGCATTAAGAATTCGTTCGAAAGGAAATGTGTATACTTTTATAATTAAATTCTTAAATAAGGAAAAGTTACTTAAATTAGCGGTACGAATACGTGTTGATATTTCAAGGTTTGTCCGTACTTGTTTGTTCCTTCTTTCGTTGTCCTTTATATATATATATGTATAATGCATTTATAAACGCAAATATATTTGAGACTGATTGTGAGAAACGTGTGACAAAGGCAGATTTGTCAAAGCATTGGATTGTTTTGAGGGGAAATACTAATGAAAGGGAAATGGGAGAAAGTATATATTTTAATTTTATGAGAGATAAACAGTTATGTTAACGTTAGCGTCTCGAATTATAAGATTAAAGTCACATTTGACATTTTATTATACTTGTAGGAAGAAAGATTAGCACCTGGCTGGACGTCCGGATGAATTTTCTGCCTTGGAATCAATGTTTTAAATAATAACCTATATAGCATGTGTCTTGTTAGTGGGTTTTTGGTTTCGACGTTGACTTGTTAGTGTACGTTGCGGTACTGTTTATGGGAGTATTATTGACCGAAGTGTCGGATACTTCGTCGCTGCTATTACTGCGAATATCACCCTCCATCTGTAATAGGTTTTCCACAAGAAAAGATTAGCATATAGCGTTCGTTCATTAATATCGAGAAAATGTCCCAACGAACGTGCACGCGACAATTTATATAAATCAGCAGCACATACCTGACCAGCATTGAAAGCACGGTATGCGATCTGAAGGATTACATAAGTCCAAATTGCGTGGAGAAGCAGTAGTAAGATTAATAAAGAATTAAAGATATAATACGCAGGGAACATCGGTACTATCTTAGGCGCTTCTATAGATGTGCTGTAATATGTAATAGAATCCAAATCAGTATCACATAATCCGCACCCGAGATACATTCAATCGATTAAAATTTAGATATAACAATACGTACCTATAAATTATCCAAAATGGATACACACCAATACGCGTTCCAATCCAGAGAATTGTAAACACGACGAATATACAATCACAAATTTTCTGATAATTTGCATACTTGGATATTTTTGCCGCCTGCGAATTAACAGAGCGTATAAATCGAAATGTAGAATGCCGTCGTGCACGTGCTTGCTCCTTCGAGAGCAGTACCACAGTATTCTTACCTCCAAGAATATATCCGCGGAATCGTGCACAAGCAAGACCAGACTGCCGATCCTAGTTAGGTTTCCAACCCACGAGAAACACATAAGTGAAATTGTGGCTATGTGATGAATAAACATCTGCCAGAAATCTTTCCTTCTCACATCGAAGAATTGAGAGAAGCTTAATGCCCAGTAAAATGCCATTGATATCATGTAATACCACCATATATCACTGGTAACAGGATGATAGGGGTAATTGTAATAACAATGCTTTATGTCCCAGAGCCACGGTTTATCCCATAGGACAACAAGGCCATAGAAGAACGAGTACGTATAATAAAAACATCTCCAACTGAAAAAAAAAAAGAGAGATCGCGCATATATGATTTGTTAATGCGATGTTTATGCACGATGCAAAACGATACATTAAGACGATGACTAACCAACTTTCACAGAATTTTGTAAGAGTAGACGGCTTGTCTTGAGAGCGACGCAGCCGAAGCCATCTCTCCACTTGTCTTTCAGACCAGTCTAATTGTTTAGCCAATGCCAAAATCTTAAAACACGATTGTGTGTTACAAAATGCTGACGTAACAGATAATATGCATAAAAGTAGTATTTAATCAATACGTACATCAATAGTGCTATTTAATCTATATTTTAATTCTAATATTTATATCTCTTAATCGATAAAAAACTTGATCTCTATAACAATTTTATCATCATCATTGATCATAGACCATAGATCATAGGTCATAGATCATTGATTTTATAAATCATGACTATATTAGTAATTAGAGTTGTACCTATATAATACTAATGATATTAAATTTTTTCACATTAGTCACTCACCTGTTTACGCTTAGTTTTCTTACTAAGATATGCTTTTTCTAATATCTCATTGGGTGCTGCCCTTTTGCTTCTAGTATTTTTTATACTAAGTGATCTTCCAAAGGGAGCGAACCAATACCTAATTAAAAAGTGTAATAATCTAATTAAAAAATTAGATTATATATTTTTTTTTATTTTAGAAATTCATATAAATTCTTTATCATATATTAAATATTACATTTTGCACCACATTTCATTGATTGTAAACTTTTCAATAGGAATGTGAATTTAATTTCTTTGAAAGTGAAACATTAATATTGAAGATGAGATATAAAACTCGTATGACCAATACAATAAGGCTTAAGAAACTTACCTTTCAAGAGTATATCTCATTCCTAGAAGAACAAATGCCATGGGCAGCGGAAATATTAAATGCTGATAATTCGCATACTTATTGTCTGCATTCGGACTGATATCCTCCCATGTAATGTTGGAAGGTAACCAAATGTCCGGCGACCAAAAAGTGGCCGATATATTTAGGAGAATATTCTTCATTTCTCTGTGTCCTGCAAACAGAGATATTCATGGTAACAAGAAGAAATGGCTAATGACTCGGATTGTGGAAAACTCGAGTGATCGAAATGACATATCGCAAATAGCACACGCTCGTGCTTTTTACATATTTATTAAATCATCACAGATGACTCGTCATGACGCACAAGAATGCGGAATGCCCAACTAGCGACACAACGGTAAGACGTTTCGAAAGAAATCTCTGGAGATCACGCCACAGAAATTAATCAACATAAATCATTGGTGCAATCATCGAGGTCGGCCAGCAAGATTAAATTGAGGTACACGAAGAAGACGTACTTCTACATAAATGGACACGTAACGAGAGAGTGAGAAGGAGAAACTGACATCGGATAGATCTCGGCGAGAGGACACACCGCGCGCGCACTCACCCGGAGCCGCTGCAGCCACTTGGGTATGTAACGATGTAACGCGTGATCCGAAACGTGCCACCGAGGACGGGCGAGAATGAGGCGAGAGAGAGAGAGAGAGAGAGAGAGAGAGAGAACGCGCGCGTGCTCGTGCCGTTTCTGTTAGCGGGTAACGCGCGCGTGCGCTACCGGAATGGTGCTCCGATTAGCGCCAGAATGGAGGAGGGCGACGATAAGGCCGGGCGGCCGCGCAACGTCTCACTGCGGCTGAGCTAGAATCCGGCGAAGCGGTACGCTTCGTAACTGCCTGTCCAAGTCTCTCGCTATCATTACGAATTACGACCGCTATCAGCATCCCACCACCACGAGGCGCGGCTCTGACACAATCGAGATAACGAGCTTATTCGGCCGCATGACTATTCTCGCTCGCTTTGACGGTCACGCCACACTGCCACCGGCTGTCGTACGAGCCAAAACACTATTAATTAATGATTACCGCACGATCCCGCCGCTGTGTATACGGTGTGTGTGCGTGCGTTCAGCATTGAACGTTCCGGCGAGAGGCGCGCCCGGCAGAGATGGGGGCTCGGGCGCATCCGATCGTGCCCAATCGCTCCGATCTCGCAGCTGCAGTGGGAGTTCTCCCTCTGTCTCTGTCGTCTCTGTATCTGTTCTCCTATTTCTTCTCTCTTTCTCTCTCTCTCTCGCTTTTCTGTTGCACTGTTTTTTCTATGAACGTCTCCATGGAATCAGCAACCGAGCAACTCGACCTTATTCGACGATTCGATATTAGCCCTATTTATATTAGCTCTACTTTCTGATTTCACTACGTCTACGTACCATTAATATGCACACTACGAATTACACGCACCTTCTGTCACTTGCAGGGAAGAAGAGAGGGAAGGAAAAAAGAAGCTGCCGTGCTGCCGGGGTTACCGGTGACTCATCGAGCGACCACGAGACCGTCGTCGGAATCGTCGGATCGGTCGGCCAACGACGATGATTGGATTCCACCAAGTTCGCTCGTGTCTACCGGCTGGCCAGGGCCATTTACCGTCGTGTCGTCCGAGTTCCGAACGAGTTTCTCAGCGGATTTACCATTTACCAAATTGCGTGTCCGGCGTGCCCGCACTCGAGAGTCGAGACGATAAACAAGAAATGGCGGGGCCCCCTGGCGGTCTCTCCCTGCTCCGAGCTCCGAGAGGCACTCTAGTAGAGAAGCGGATCGTTAGAACTGGTTAGAACGCCATTAAGCCACTGCTGGCGGCTGGCGCGCGTATCGACCGGCTTCCCGCTTCCCGTCAAGACGTTCACGGCGACCAATAGCGGTTCGCCTCGACGCAGCCGTTCGAAAATTCAAGATCCTCATTGAACGATTCGAATCGCATGCGTTTCGCGATTCGCGCGGGTCGACGCGCGAAGATACACTCCGTGAACTCCGTCTCGTATTTTAGGGCGACTTTGACCAAACTCCAATTAACTTAATTGGCGATTAACTTGACAGGCGACGCCGATTTATTATCTTGACATGGAGAGAATTATTAATTTTTGTTGCTTAAACATATGCGGGAAAGGAGATTAGATTAGAAACACTCTGAATTTTGCAATGAGAGGGATAAATTTAAGCACGTGCGCAATTTTGTTGAATTAATCGCAATTAAATTAATCGACGGTTAACCTTGAGATGAGAATAAACATCTACGCTCTATTTTGTTTATGTGGATAAAAGTATTAATTTTCTGTAATTTGAATGAAAAGGAAGTGAAAAGAAAGATTAAGGTAGATTTAGATATATACAGTTAAAAAATTGGTTATAAGCGCTTAGGCTGAATTAATTAATCATCGATTATGTTAAACTTTTATCAAAGTCGCCCTTTTAATTTTAATTTAAAAAAAAAAAAAAAAAAAAAAACGCAAAGGCTGTATCTCACTTGATTGAAAGGAATTGTAGGAATATGCTTTATTGCCTCTTGGTAAAAAAAAAATTTTCTCTTTATTTTCTCTTAGTAAAAAAAGTTAATTTTTGCGTTGAAAAAGCGATCGGTGCAAACTCGCATCAGCCTCTCCTAATTGTTAAGTCTAATGTAAAATTCGACATTACCGAAAAATATTTTTCTACTGGATATCAGGCACCGTGTGCGTGTCGAAAGCAGCCCTTTCTCTATAGGTTTGTTCGCGTCGCACGCCCCACCATGCTCCAACGCACTCCAAAAACTCATCTGCTCCAATCGCCACCCTTTATCCGTGATCCAAGTGTCTCTGGTGCCATGTATATTGGAGTATGCGACGCGAACAAACCTTATATCTTTCTCTCTTTTTTTTTTTCTCCTAGATAAGCTCACGGGATTTCGAAAGTCTCAATGCGCGCATTTACGATTGACCGGATATCGCTTGATTAGATGCTTTATCACGCGTTGGTAAATGTTCGCATTCCTCCTCTCGTGCGGCCGGAAGAACTCCTGCGTGGCTATGTTGATCTTGCGCGCTTTTCGCTTGATTCCTGGAGTATGCACTAAAAAGGCACCATCGAGCACGATCAGGCGATAATTTAAAAGACACATCTCGAACATCTGTAAATGTGAAATAAATAATAACGGATTCTGAAAGATACAGAGAGTCTAAAGGTAAGAGATTAACAGCTAAAAGCAAAGTAATTATTGTACTTGAGGAAATCTCTACCCCTTATGACCGTTTCTATCAATCAGATTAACTTTAAGCTCAGTTCAATTTACTTTCTTTTATCTTTTTTTAATTCTTAGAAGCTAAAAAAAAATAAATCAAACCAAATTAAAGTTAATCTGATAGAAATGGACATTAGAAAATCATGTATTAGAGAGATGCATTTTATTATAGGTGCTGGAGATTGCTGTTCAAAGGGTATTTTGTTTCGCACCTGGGCCATCTTGTCCTGCTTGCCCTCCCAGGACATCTCCTCGGTATAGAGTGGGTCGTCACGCGTGCCGATAAAGACCGGCTCCCACCTATGATGCGGATATTCCCTTTTGGTGACGAAAAGCGGTCGGATCCTACCCGGATCCGGTCTGATCATCCACCTGGTCAGACCGGGAAATCGCTGGCAGTGCGGACAGACAAACCTGCGTGAGGAACCGTTGGATTATTTTAACGCATCGGTCTCCGCGACACGGATCCTTTATTTCGATTCTTACGAAACACGAGAGAAAGCGCGTATATGTCAACGATTTCAAATTGGGACATTCTTACACATGTACCTATGGAAATACACCGCCAGGCCGGCTCGGCAGGCGACGAGCAGTTGGCGCTTCGTCGCCGGCGGCGGTTCATTGGACTCTATCTCGAATACAGGTACAACGAAGACCACGCCGAGCTTGGGCGGTTTCTGGTGCACCATCTCCATGATGCCGGAAGCCATCCGCGCGCTCGGCAACAGCTCGATGTCCGACACCAGCACGCGGGACGTGTTCGCGACCGTTCTCGCCACGTTCCGGGCGACATTGATGGGATATGTCATTTTCCTCTTCCGCCTCTCGGTCTCGGACTGCCGCCACTGGAGATCGAAAGCGGCGCAATCGCCCTGGACGCGACTGATGGCGCCCAGGGCGGGCGGTCGACCGGCCGGAAACACCAGGTGGACGGAAACCTGCGATCACCGAGTCACTACATTGAATGCGAATTTTTAGATATACCGTATGTATAATATACGAGAAAAGAGTGGTAACGGAAACATTGTGCTGTGTCCCAAACACAGACTGTAAATAAAGAAGAAAAAAAAATTGTATCGAAAGTATGATATATATTTACAAAGATTAGCATGTTCATTAATTTTGGAATTTCTTATTATTTACGTGATATTAAATTACATAAGATATTTTATGTAATTTAATATGTTAATTGCCCTTTAATCGTAAAGGAGTACAGATAATTGTGTTCGGTACTTCTAATACTTTCTATTTCTGTATACGAATTACATACATTCTAATTTGATTTTAATTAAAATGATTTGTATTCCACACGGAGATTTGAATGACTATGCTAATTACAAGCAAGTGTGTCGATATAACGGAATACGCATCCATCATGCTTTCACAACGGACTTTTTATACTAGGTTCTTTGTCACCGCATGTCACACATAAATCTGCATTGCAAAATTACTTGAACCGTAAGAAACCGTTAAAAGCTAAACTAATCCGTGTACGCAATGTCTACGCTTATAATTATGTAAACTAATAAAATAATTTTCACTAAATGACTAATAAGTTAACTAATAAGAAACATTGTCTACAAAAAAGTTTCGCTTGTATGTAATAATAAGGTGTTGTAATGTTTTTTTATACAGGTGACCTAAAAGTGCATATCGCGCGGACTCCCGCGGATACCCGCGTTATTAACGAAAGCGTGAACGACTTTGACGGTCAACAGGGCGTTGCATTATATGCTTTGATACACACAAGATTCGCGATCGTTACGTAAAAGTTGAGGAGACCTTGTACATGGTAGGCTCGCAACGACAGGCTCGATCAAGCTGAGCGACGGCGAGGCCGGCGTCGAGGCCTGGCGCGAACACCGCCAGGCTAAGCGGTCCCTCCCACCGTCTGGCCAGCTCCACGATCCCGTAAACCTGATCGGCGGTAGCGTGTGTGGACAACGTGACTTGGGGCAAACTGTCTGTCGCTTCGACGGCACCAAGCAACACGAACGGCAGAACCCTGCGCGAAGAAAAAGAATTCTCGCTGTACGTCGCAGCAAAATCGCCGCATGATACATTCGACGCCCAAACTTTTCTCTCACAATGTACATTGCGTACCTGATATTCAATCGTTTTATTGTTAAAATAGAAAAACCTTGCTGCGTAAATTTGAATGTGTAGAAGCCAAAATTTACAGCTTTTAATCTAATCGTTGAGATAAAATGTTGCCGGTTGCAGTAAATTTTCAAGAAAATTAATCTCAAATAAAATATTAGTATTCTTAAAATATAAATCTTTTTGTCTGATATGATGATTAACGAAATCCGCTACGACATAAAATAGATTTTGTATCGGCAAAATTTTTTCCGTTTTTCATGTTGAGCATCGATTTTTGGCATCAGTTTTAGATGGTAGGGTGAATTAAATTTGTGGAGAAAAACAACGACAATTTCTCATAGACGCGTGCTCTCTACCTGTAGGGACTCTTCTCGCCGATTTCGGGGCTCCAGGTGAGCTTGGATGGTGGATAGGAGAGGACGTCCGGCAGGCCGTGGTACCACCTGCAGGCACTTTCATTGCGGGGTTGCCGACCCGCCATGTACATGCCCGCCGCGTAGGCGGACGGTCCTGGTGGACCAATGTCCTGCTGCGACGTCGTATGGCTACTGTCCAACGCCGAGATACCACCGTCATCGCGAAAAATGAGCGTCGTCGTCGGCAATCGAAAGTCGTGGCCGAATAGCAGACGAACGGCTACCAGGAGGGACAGCACCAACGTCGGCCATACTAGTAGCTTGCGAGCGAGGCTGCGCATCGCTTTCTTATCTGAGAACTCTGAGAATAGGTTTAGATTCTAATTAACTTGAATCAAAAGTAATCTTCCTATGTCTGTCTCATTAATCTATGAATAGCCAAAGATTAAAACGCGCAAAGCGATAAAGTTCTTATATAACCTAATTCAGAGGTTGATACCATTTTGGTAAATCTGAAATCAATCTTTCCAGGATTGAGAGACACGCCTGCGGCGCAAGGCTAAAATCGATCATTCTACATTGCTCGGTATTCGCGGTTGCTGTCATATTTTTAGCAACGTGGAAAGGGATTTTGAGGGGAGTATACGTTTAGAGGGTTTAAGAGCACGCGAGCAAAGTCAGCGAAGCTAGACGTGACAAGTTGGCAATGAGAGCTGAGTCCGTCTAAACGCACCTCGGTTGTTCCCCGATCTCTTCGTCGATCGAGAACGGTGGAACAATGTTCCATATTACAGGCGCAAGCGGCGGGTCCTCCGAGGAACATCCGCCGTCGAACTGGCACTGACACGACACGATGTTTAGCGGAAGAGATACAGACTGCGCGAGGTGTCGCGGATCGATATCGATGTCGCGCAAACGCGCTGGCATTGCTGGCAAAGGCACACACAACACGCGCGGCCGAGATACTATAGCTGTGATTGCAGGCGGAACGGCGGAACAGGAAAAATAATGCCACTATAATTGCACCTGGATTATGCTCCGAATTTTCCACTGGCGCTGAAATGTATCTTTACATTTATATTAATATACTAGGTGCACTAATATATATATCTTTATAACAATCCTTTATTTCGACTTCAACATATATAATTTTTAAACGTATTATATTTTATAGTTTCTGCAGCCTCTATATATTAACATAAAAAATAATTTTTTACATGCGTGTCAAGGAACCTCGGATCTAATCTACGATCATGGCAACACGAAATTATCGAGCGCGAGGACAATGTACGCGTAGACAACAAGGTCAAATGATGGACAATTCAATAAGAGAGCGTTTAATTACCAACGGTATCAGGAAGATATATGTTGCAAGGAGAAGACGTTTCCCTTTACATGTGTGTAAACGATAAAAACTATATCGGAAGTCTGTATAAGATAAGTTTGACGTTATATTAATTTTCGATTTCTAATTATCGCCAAAGCTGATGATTATTACGTATTACAGGAGTCGGCTATAATTGGCATATCGCGTGACGCATTATAATAGCCTTACCGTAGTTGCGCCGGCACTATAGTATCGAACGGGCGCGGGTTTTACCGTGCGCGATCACGCAGGATCCATCGCGCGAGAGGATATGTCTAATCGTAGGTAGACACGTGTGCGCGTTGTTATAGACAGAAAGTAGCGATATGGGAATCGCTTATAGGGTCGTCGTCATTGATTCTCAAGGCCGCGCTCTAATTTTAGCAGTTCACAGAAGAGAGGAGAGTACATACATATATATATATGTGTGTGTGTGTGTGTACCTACACATCACACTTCTTCCGGCCGTGCCGCGGTGCAACGCGCCTAATGCACAAAGATTTCGCTCCACGGAGCCAGTTGTTCTTCAAGGTTTTGAGATGTCGAATCGCAGCGTTTGTATAGCTCTGCCTCTTTCTCTATTTTTCTTTATTTATTCGATTTAATAAGTAGTCAAGTTTCGAAACACTATCGGGACTTGGTCATGAGGTCAGATAAGCATATGTGTTTACGAGTCTGTAATCGAGGAATATTAATAACGTGGATGACGCGTGAGTTATAACTTTGAAATATACGATGGAACGTGTGGATTAACAAGTTAAACATTGTCGCCATATTTTGGTGTATTATGTATTCAACAGTGTATAGAGATAGCGGTTAGATTATTAATGGAACACAAAGCATGTTTCCGTGTAAAGCTCATCGATCCACAACTCCTATGTATGTACATACATGCTTATGAATAAGCAAAAAAATTCCCGCGAGAAAACACTAAGTAATTAAAGTTGTGACCGACAGAAAAGTTTATCAAGATCGAAAGGTCGGATCTATCCGCGAACGAAGTAACTACCTGTATGATATGATTAATAATTACTACGTTTACGCGAGCGTTACTTCTGTAGTAACTTACGATAATTCCTTCGCGTAAACGGGATTTTCCTTCGCGTAAACGTAGTAAATGTCTGGCACACACGTGACCGACTGAAAATAAATGACGTGAAATAAAACGCTGTACGTACATATATGAGACAGAAATAAGATCATGTGCACAACGTAATAGATATAATTAATACATAAATCTCCGCGTAAAATCGCATTCAAGAGGACTTTGGCTCAAATAAAGAAGCCAGCGGAACGTAAGATTTCTCTCCGAAATATTGAAAGAACACACTTGACGTCTCGCGGAATGAATCGATTCAACAAGTGCTCGGGGATATCATCGGGTCCATGTTGAGAGGGAAATCTCTTGGAAAAGTGATTGATACACACAACACTCACGTTGAAGTGAGTAAGGCCGAAGGCGTGTGCACACAGCTTTCCCGTCCAATGTTGCGTGAAATATGTACACGTGTGTAATCGACCGGAAGATCGTTAAACACGATCGTGTGGAGCCTACGGCGGTTATAAGTGTTATAACACGGCTCATCTTGACCTTAGCCGATGGACGTGCCCCTTTTCCCGCGACCACCGGCCATCGAAGGCGTCACGACACCCCTCAGTGACGGGCCGAGCGTCGCGACGCTACCACGCGTCCCGGCACCCGTTGCGACATCCGTGCCGCGCGTACGTAGACGATATGCCGTACCCCTGCGATCCTCCTCGGACACCAAGAAGCGGCGTCGCATCTGCAGGAACCTAGTCCATCCGCGGGTCAGGACCGCGGCCCTCGTCAAGGATGCCGCACGTCGTCGCATCACTGAGTTTCGCATGAGGATGACGGAGCATCGCGCGAACGACGAGGGGGACGACGACGACGATGTCGTTTGCAGCATTGGTATATATATATAGATATGTTACGTGATTTAATTTCTTAAAACCATGCATTTTAATTGATAGACATTTTTATACTTGATACAATAAAAATAAAACGTAAAAAGTCGAAGGAAAGTGTAAATTATAATTTGTAAGCAGCTTACAAAATATTCTTAGGTGATATCTTAATATTCGTATAAATAATTCATATAAAAAACATTGAAAGAAAAGTATAATTATCATATATCAGGTAACGACAGTATAGTTACATACGCCAGGAAGAGAGGGTATAACTTTTTCAGTAATACACATGTCACGTAAGTTTCAATCGATCACTGATGCGTGTTTTGCTACGGCACGCTTTCGTAAACTGCTTAAGAGGAGGAAATCGATTTGACATTTTCTTTAGTGATTGAAAAATAATCATTCTTTAAATGGACTTGATATACTGCGTAACACTTTAAACTTGAAAAAAAAAAAAATTACGGCAATTTTCTATAGGATACTATATTTCAAAATATGTCTCGTATATCATTGTAAGTTTTCTGCTTATGTAAATGCTCTTCTGCTTATATACAAATGTTCAAAAATAGATATTACGGACACACCGACCACGTTATCTTCGGAGATCTCCCCTCGCTTGAAAAACGGCGTAATACCGACAAAAAACTGGACAAAGTCCGTAACTGTCCAGACTGTAGAAGGATTACCGCTGCGATTAAGATTTCTGCCATATCTCAGCAGAGACATCGAGGAGGATAATGGAACGTCCTCGGGGAAATTCTCGAGATTTTGCAAGTACCTGAGATTTCTGGGACGCGTGTCGTTATCGCAATTCGGTACGAGCTATAAGCTAAAATTATTATGTAACGTTTATCTGTAAAAGATTTTTTTCATTGAGCTAATTTAAGCTAATTAATAATTTATACGTTGTCGCAGGTCTTCTGTGGATACTCGTGATATGGACGGTGGCAGGCGCGGCGGCGTTCTGCGCCACGGAAGGACCTCGCGAACGCGAACAGGTCGTGTCGCTGAAGAATATGCAGAAGGATTTAGCGGTCGGTTTGGCGACGGAGTTGCGGCAATTGCGGACAGAGCAGGATCAGGCGGTGGAGCCGTTGTGGAGCGACAAGGTCCGCCAATATGTGGCCAAACACGAGCAACTCCTCTTGATCGCTGTCAGTTCCGGCTATGGCGAAGGTGGTAATAGCGGACAGCCGGGACAGCTGTGGACATTTCCCGGCTGTGTGTTGTTCGCCATATCACTAATTACTACTTTAGGTATGTTAATTAGGCCCAACTGCTAAACAGTCCCAACTGCGTATTCATAAAATTCTTAGATAATTACATGAAAATTGTATCATGTTCTGAAAATTTTACAGGTTTCGGAGCGCCGGTTCCGCGAACCAACGCTGGTCGTACGGTAGGAGTGATTTTTGCCGCTATTGGCATTCCGGCGCATTTCCTTCTTATACTAAATTTTGGTCTCTTGGTGGCTTTTCACCTACAAAAATACGCGCTTATCAAACGAGGCGTGCAACTCGGCAATACGGAATCCAACTATTCTAAACGGATGCCGAGATGGATCAAAATACTGTCGTTCGTTGGTTCAGGTATGATCTTTCGTCACGAGTCTATATAAAAATTTGTCTCTTTCTCGATTATTGCTGCTCGCTTACTTTTATTTCAAGAGTTGGTTGAAATAAAAAGTGAAATATTAAATAATACGTGAATAATATAAAATTAACGTATAATAGTAATTTTGGAAAACTTTGGTGATTTCTATTGTAGTCGCTTACTACATCTTAGGGGTATTGTGCTTCGGAATAGCGAGATCGAGACCGATCGCGGCGAGTGTGTTGTTTCCGTTGGACTTTACCGCGGCAGGGGGTCTTTCTACTACTGCCGGTCACGTACGGATACTGTACGGTCTGTATTTGGAAGGCGCTGTTACTATCGCGGCAATAATGGTAGCTATATTACGAGTATCAGCAACGCAAAGTCTTACAAACATTGGACTGAAATACGGCCTATTGACTGAAGCTTGAATCAGTTGAAACATTTTTCAGCTTCTTGTACATACACATACATATTTCGTCAATATTCCGTTTATCATGTTATTCTGCTCTACCATAGTCAATATTTGTAAACAAAAACCGAAGTTGACGAAATTACAATTTACCTTTGACTTCTGGATTATCTGTAATTACACAATTACAAAAAAAATACAGATTATGCAGATATGTATACGTTTCAGATAATCTTTTATTTCGCAAGATAAAACGCGTAATAGCTACATGGTCAAACCAGATAGGCTATATCTTCGTATAGCCAACATTTCTCGTATGATTTATATCCAACAGAGTTGCTCGTAAGACGAGAAAAAAAAATGAAGATTGAATAATCCACACGAAAGAACGTAAATACGTGCATTTCTAGGTATATGCAAAGAGATACGTGTTGAGCAGAATTTATTTTACAAATATATCGTCGTATATTTTACAAACATCGTCTCGACTAAGATGAACAGATAACAGCTATATTTATATCTTCATGTACTCCCTTTATTTAATCAAGATGTAATAAAGACAAATTTATACGCTACGATACGACTGTACAGCTATACGTTATCTAAGCGGCATCAGGCTGTGGCATCACTTGATCGCTCGTAACGATAATCTTCATGCTCGTTTTTTTTTTTCTCTTTTTTTTTTCTCTCCTAACTTGATCGAAAGTGTACATAATTTCAGGCCCAAACTCCCATTGTCGATGATGTAGGCTAGCGTATATACGATTTACGTATTAGTAACGTAACAACACAAGCACAGCATTTTCTAGATCTTTACAGATTTCTTTTGACGCTCGCGATTACTGGGGCACTTTCTGTCGTTGCATTCCCGGCGTTAGTGTCATTTTTGCCAACGACGTCTGACGTATCTTTGGTATGCACGGACCTGTTGTCGAGAGGTTTGTCTCCTGGATGCTCGGGCTCAGAAGATGACTGGATTTCGCGATTAGGCGTATTTCCTAACGCTATTCGTATAGATTCCACCAGGTGCAATGGACCTGAATAGCACTCTTTCGTACCTGTAAACAAATTTGTACGTATCGACATATTTCTATCATCTTTTGTCAAGATAAATATTATATATACTAATGAATGTTCGAGAGCCTACGTGATTTTACGGAGATTTTATTAACGGTGACTTGGAATTTGTGGCAAATAATTCTCATCAGTTGGAGATGATTTCACTAACGAAATAATCAACTTTTAATTGAAAAAATCTATTCCTCGAATATAGTTTGAGATTGCTCGCGGAGACAACGAGTTTAGAGACGTGTACTAATGAAATTAGGCCTATTATTTTCAGCTAAACTTGTGTGCGGTTTCATCTTTTCTCTCTTTCTTTTCCGCATTGGCGAGAAAAAAAGAAAAAATAAACCGTGCAAAAAGGTCAGCTAAAAAGAGCAGGCTTTTTATTTAGAATCCCGTTCGTAAGCATTCTGTGATCTACACATTCTAGTTATAACTATAGAATATACGCCGTGTATATTTATAGTAAATGTATCATAGATATAAATTATGTGTCATCTAGTTCTCTACTTACACAATTCGTTCTTTACCCAAATATAACTTTTTTAATTTTTCTAAGTAGACCATCATTCTGATCATTTTGAACCTCTTGTCTCGCTTGAGTTTGCACCTTTGGACCTGCCGTGCCTAGAAAAAACATTGGAGCTACTAATGAAGATTTCACTTGAAAATATGAATTTTACATTGAATTAGTTATAAATATATACGTCTCTCACTCTTATTTCTGTTGACGCAAAAATTTCGGTATACAAGAATTTTTTGTTTCATTTCGAAAAACGCCAATGAAACGCATTTTTCAACATTTCAACGTGTTTTATTTAATCAGTGATAGCACAGGTACACACAGGGGAAAACTCAAGCGACGCATACGTCTAATGAGAATACGTTGGTGCAATGCAGAAACGGTAGTTTTGCACCTACCATTAAATGATCGACGTCACAAATACAAATAAATATACGTACGGTTCGCTGAGAAAAACTCGAAATAATATTAAATCGAAATAAAATAATTAAAAATGATGATTTACGTTTCATCGTTTGTCCTTACCATCCGTTTTATACGTTACACCGTGTATACTGCCGGGGGTGTTGGTTTCGAGTTCGGCGTACGCTTGAAACAATGCTCGCTGCTTTTCCGTCAATTGTTTAGGCACGGTTATCTTGACGTTTACGTAATGATCGCCGTAACCCATTCCGTCGACCTTCTTCAATCCCTTGCCGGTCAAACGGATTCGCGTGTGGGAGGACGTACCCGGCATTATTTGTATAGTCTGATCCTCGTATACGCCCTGCACTCGTATCGTACCACCCAGCACCGCCTGCGCGAGGGAGACTTCTGCGTCCGTGTGCACGTCGGGCCCGTCACGGCGGAAGTACCGGGACTTCTCCACACGGAATGTCACGAATATCTCTTTCTTGCCCAGTGCCATACGGATCGTTTGACCGTCCTCTACTCCGGCTGGAACCGGCACCGTTATTTTCTTACGTTGTACCTATAGAAATGCAGCGTTTAAAACACAATAATTAATGCACGAACTAGATAAATAAGATATGACGTATAGACAAATCGCGAGAGCGCCGCGATTCTCTCACCGTTTGTCCTTTCGCGTTGCACTCCGTGCAAGGGAACTTGATGTGCATTTTTGTGCCTTGACAGTACCGACAAGTCGAACTCATTACAAAAGGACCGGTAGATATCGTCTCCATTCCCGTACCGTTGCAATAAAAACATTTTGCTGGCTTAGTTCCTATCTCGCAGCGCGAACCTCCGCATTTCGGACAAGTGTCCACTACGTTCACGTTGATATCCTTATTCACACCTCTGGCGGCTTGAGAGAACGTTAAATTCATTATCACCTGTTGAGAGAAGCGTTATTTACACGCACGTTATTAGGAGAAATAATTAGGTGAATCGTACTTGTTGCCCATACCTCTTGAGCTGCCCCAAAACCGTACTTTGTTTCTGTAAAATCTTCAAAATCACTGAAGGCCCCACTTTGGAACCCGGCGTCGCCGAATATTTTTCTGAACAACTCTTCGGCATTAATGGTCGATCTATATTGCCAGTGCTGATTGTAGCTCTTGGGTCCCCCCTGACCCTGGCCCATTCCCATACCCATTTGCTCCGAAGTTGCGCCCCACGTATCATATTCTTTCCTCTTGGTATCGTCGCTCAATACTTCGTACGCCTCGGAAACTTCTTGAAACTTCTTGTTGGCGTCCGGATCTCCTTTATTCGTGTCGGGATGATACTTTTTCGCGAGTTGATAATAAGCCTTCTTTATGTCTTTTGACGAGGCATTTTTGGAGACACCCAGGATTTCGTAATAGTTACGCCTCAACAATCTATTTGTCAAGTGTATGGCCCTGTGTGGTTGCACTATTGTTCCTATGTCTGAAATGGATATTGGGCATGACTCTGGTCTTTTTGTTATTATTTAATATTATATATAGAAGAAAACAAAGGAAAAAAAAGTATAGAGGTTTGACTTGTCCGAGTCCGTATCTAAAAATATACGGCAACGTAGTTTCTTCATTCAGAAATTGGTTGACATTTACACAACTATAAATACAAATAATGGTATCTTGAGGGAATTGAAAGCTATTATAATTTTCTAGAACATGATTACTAGTATTATCATATGGCAAACACACAAATTCTACACACATAAAGCATTATATACTGTTCTTCCCGACACGTCTAGGCGGAAATAAATATTGGATCTAAAGGCAAAGCCCATTATTAAAATATTAAGTAAAATATAGATTTAACTTGTTTGAGTATCTAAAAATATAGAACGGATTAGCTCCACCGTTATGCATCAGTTGATATTTATACGGATATTTATACAGACAGATAGATAATGGGATTCCGAAGGAAAATAGCTCAAACTTTTTAGAACAGACTAGTATGTCGTAATATATGACAAACGTGTATATATTGTATATACACGCGGATTTGCAGGTTATGTCGATGCATTGGAAAAACGCCGCGCATCGCGCATATCGGACGACAGGAAACGCATAACGGATGGAAACTCGCGCGGTTGAGGATGGGAACGTCGACGCAACGGGGGCGAGGAGGTCGTTGACACACCGGCGAAAGCGCCGGGAACGGAGTTTTCGTTGGACAAAACGAGAATGATGTAATATAGCGAGGTTCGAGTGCACGAGGGTGTATCTTACTTTTTTCGCGATTCCAGCCACCGACAGTCGACGCGACGATCACCATGTGTCGCTGGCACGCACTGCATTGCTGCAAAACGCCGCGCGAGATCTTATTCAGCTTATTGTTCCCGAGCAGGTTGATGGTCTTTGGGCGAAGAATCGCGGCAAGACCCTTGCCGGTCGCCATGTTGCGCGAAAGACGCATGCAAACACATGCAAACATTATTGCTGAAACGCATGGCCGTGGCAGAGAGAGTACGAAGAATTTAAAGGTGAAATTTCATGGGCAGTGAAAAGTAGCAGCAGATCGTACTGATTGGCTACAAAATAGAAAACTGATTGGTCTATTTCCTTATGCACATGTGTATGGACCAATCAATTTTCTTATGCTTACGCATTATGCGTTGTGCAGAAGTGTGTGTCCGGGTCCTAAAGCGGGGAGCACACACTTCTGCATAACGCATAATGCGTAAGCATAAGAAATTTGATTGGTCTATTTTCTTATGCACATGTGTATGGACCAATCAATTTTCTTATGCTTACGCATTATGCGTTATGCAGAAGTGTGTGCTCCCCGCTTTACAGTAAAGTTTCGACCAATCGCGTTGCTTGAATCGGGAATAACGTATGTACGGCCGTACGTTCCCGAATTGAGCAACGCGATTGGTCGAAACTTTACTGTTATTGTTACGAAAAAGTGTGTCCGGGGCTTAACAAAGTTTTATGCTAGGTCTACAATGCGAGTCGCAAAGTCGTGAGTCGCAAGAATTGACTAATCACAGTCGAATTTGAGGAAAATGATTGACTGTGATTGGTCAATTCTTACGACTCACGACTTTACGACTCG